TATATATCTATATCTAGATATATAGATATAAATATATACATACATACATATGTTTTTATTAAAGCATACCAATCAAGAACTTATTTAAAGTAAATACCTCTCTGGAGTAAAATGATAATAAAACATTTATTCCTCTTTGATTATGAGCAAAGTGAATGGTGATGAATCTTAAATCTAAAGTGAATGACAGATAAATTGCATGTATTATAATTTGCTTGTACAATCTGAAAGAATGAACACAATTAACTCCTCTTTGCTGGGGAACAGAGGTTCTGTATGCTAGGTAAACTCATATTTTAACACTTGGTGTAGGTGCCCGATTACAAAAATATGATAGTCTCATCTAAACTTTGAATGCGTAAGCCTTGTTAACTGGACTTTTAGGTTAGGCTTCTGCTAACACACAGACATGAATGAAGAGTTAAATAATTCTGCATTCAGGTCTGCAATTTCACCACTCCCCTACAGGCTCAAAAGGATGCCAAAAGTGGAGCTAGGCTGCACAACAAATTTTTTCATGAGTGGACTGCAATGCCACTTCAGTTATGACCACCTATATGATACTCCATTTACAGTATGTTTACTATGCACCACTACAAGAGCCAAGCTCTGCCATAATGGACTCTAAAAAAAGTTGTTGTTTTTTAAATCATATATATATATGACATCCTAATGTATAGTAGAACTCCACCCCTTTTTGTAGAAACCTTGCTCCATTTTTACTGTAGTGCCAGAATGCTGCACCAAGGCAACATACATGTGTGAGCTGTGTGTGAAAAAGAATGCCTACTGACAGTTGTGAACCAAAGTTCTTAGATGTGCCTGGATATTGTACAATCTAATACTTGTACAACTCCAAGTCTGCCCAAAACACACCCTAATAATGTATACATCATAACTCTGCATCAAGCCTGAATCCTTGGAGATGTACACAAATTAGGATAGTCAAGTCGGTAGGGAAAGTAGGTGAGCACACTATCTGGTAAAAAAAATGCTATTTTAAAAAGAAAGGCAGACGGCCTCATAAATGAGAAGTGTTCTAATTAGAGTGGTTTATTGCATTCAATTACTGTACATGGGTGCCTCTCTTTTTAATGTGAAGATTGATCACACATTGCTGAGGGACACCACAATAGCAGTTCTATCCCTATTTCTGTTGAAACTTGGTATAGCCAAATGTTGTCTTGGTGAAGAATTCTAGAGGCTGAAAATCCTACCTCAGGTACAGTGATTGGGTATAAGCGGAGGTACAGGCAGATCTAGTAGGTTTTAAGCTTACATTATGTAATGAGTTTTTCAAAACACTGTAAAACATAAATGTAGAAAATATAGAAAAAAAAAATCTTGCATTCTTACCCGCTCCAATTACTCTCTCTATTCGAATTCTAGATGGATCAATCTCTTTTGCAAATTCGTGGACGGCTAAGGAAGGATCTTCATACGTATCAGGATCAATATATGTTTTTGCACCCGGAATTCTCACTGTTTAATACAAAATGGTCACAAAACTCACCCATGACAACATCTTGGACCACATATACAGTATATATCAACACACAGTTATTCCTATCCATAACTCTTTGTGGATCAACTGCACATGTCCAATAAATTTCCTAAAAAAACTATTTTTAACACATAATTTCTATTAAGTGGTCCCTGCTTTTAAAACAACATTGCTATGTAAAGGGTTTACATTAATAGCAATGTCACAACCTTTAATTGATTTTCACTAACTTTCCAATGTCTTATGCTTAGTATGTTGCAATGGAATTTTTTACCCTGAGCATGGTTATGATGTTAAGTCGCTAGAACAGGATACAAAGAGCCATGAGCAGAGCAAAAAAAAAAAAAA